AGCATTTATTCTCTCCAGCACTTTGGTCTCCCTGGATCAAAGTTTTTTCAAGTTCTAATTCCCTGTGGCTGGAAAGCGGTTCTCTAACTTTTTCTTTAAAGAAAGGAAGTACCCAAGAGGGTCTCCCAAGAGGCCTTAACTTTTTAACTCTGATTAGTTACTTCAACTTTAACATTCTGTGACTGAAATCCTAATGATTAGTATGTCATGCACAGTCCCAGGAGCCGTTCCACAAGCAAAACAAAAATTCTTACAGGCTGCAGCTCCTCAGGAGTGTGGCCCCTTTAACGAAGACATGACAGTAGTACTTCCTCGAGGAGGTGGCTCAAAAGGCCCAATGTGGCCATAAATGAACAGGATGAGTGCATAGACGGTGTCGGGATGGAGCCTAGGGGCTGAACCAGGACCCTTCAGTCGACTGAGATGCCTCAACAGGGATGCACTGAGTCACAATTTGGAGGGGGTGGCTCTTCAGCCTCTACAGGGCCAGGCTCAGAGCCTCCTGGAAGTATTCTGTCTCGACCCTCTGTGGTGTTGAATAAGTCTGACGACTGTGCGGGAGGATCGACAGAAGGCCGAGAAATTAAAGGAAGCAAAGGGAAATGATGTTCCAACAGGGCTGAGACAGACCTGAGAGCTGGACACACCCGGCCCTTTCTCAGAGACTACATGGAACCCAGGTTAAGGGCCTGTTCTCATCAGTCCTGCCTGCCCGCCATCTGGATTCCTCACCAGCCCGAGCTCAGCTGTGATCTGGAATCACTTCCCATCAAACACACAGGAAGCGCCTCAGAGTGAGAAGCACAGTGACAAAAAGAAAACACAGGATAACACACGAATTCATCTCAGAGCTGGTCAGTGGGCACAATTAAAGATCTGGGGGAAGTAATCAGAGGTTGTCAAAGATAACTTCCTATCCAACAGAGGAGGAGGAAGCAATTGAAGCAAAAATGTCATAAACCATTTGGTGTGGTTTCAAAAAGGACCAGAGAATCCTAAGGGGTAAACTCTAAGACTAAAATTGAAAGATCTCTTTGATGCCTCACCTGGGCCCTGGCAGAAGGCAGAAAAGCAGCTAAGTTCATGTAGCTAAAGACAAAGGAAAGCCAAAGGCCAGTGAGCTTCCGGACTAAAGGTTCTTGAGAGAGAGGGTCAAAGAGAGAGGCCTGGACATCTGGGAGGGACCCGGGCCATCTACTGAAATGGCACAATAAAGAAACCTCAATAGCACAAAATAAATTAAATTGAAAGATCTTTAATGAACTCAATAATGAAACACCGGAAGAACTGAGAGAACATTGGACCCAAGAACCGTGGGAACAAAACACAGTTTGACATTCAAAACTTACCTGAATGAGTAAATACAACCTGCGACGAAATCAATATGTTGTAAGTATATTTTATTATGAAGTTATCCGTATTTATATGTAAAATCGTGTTAATAGTCTGAGTCTTGCGTAACCTGTTTGTGGATTTGGGGGAAAGGGAAGGCTTTGCGCCACACCCAGTGATGCTCAGGGGTTAACCCTGGCTCTGTGCTCAGGAATTACTCCAGGGACCATATGGGATGTCAGGAATCAAACCCAGCTTGACTGCATGCAACTCAAATACCCTACCCACTGTGCTATCACTCTGGCCCCTGTTAGTGGATATTTTAGATTTTTATATAAGTATGAACAATCATGCCCCACACAATTTCACCCATCGCTTAGCCACAGCTGCACAATCCCAAATCTACAACTAGAGAAAAGGTGACACAATGAGGGGAATGGGTTTCACAGTGATAAAACCCTGACTCAGCCCGGGGAAATCAGACACACAGCTGAGCAAAAGCCGGCTTCAGGGAGGGTTCCCCAGCTGCCTCTACTGCTTTAATAAAGGAGCACCTTTACTGCACAAAGAATGGGAGTTTAAAAGGTAGGGGAACCTGCCTCGTGGAAAACATAGCAAAGATCCAGACTGGAAAGGAATATGTAAATTTTCCTTATTTCCTTATAAATACAGTAACTTAGACCAAGAATTTTAAAGAAATGTCTTTTAAAATACTACTACTACTACTACTACTATTATTTTGGCGTGTTGGATCACACCTAAGGATGCTCAGAAATCACTCCTGGCTCTGTGCTTAGGAACTATTTCTTAAAGTGCTCGGGGGGCATATGGAATGCAGGGAATTGAACCCAGGTGAACCACATGCAAGGCAAATGCCCTACCCACACTGTACTATCACTGCAGCCCCCTAAGCTCTACTATTAAAATCAACAAGCCAAATTATTTAGCTGCACTGCAATCCAGAATGTCTCTCAGAGGAAGAGAAGCCACTAGGTAGCACTGCACTGTAGCATTGTCTTCCTGTTGTTCATCGATTTGTTCAAGAGGGCCCAGTAACATTGTGAGACTTTTACTGTGTTTGGCATATCGAATACGTCACGGGTAGCTCGCCAGGCTTTGCCGTGTGGGCAAGATACTCTCGGTAGCTTGCCAGGCTCTCCGAGAGGGGTGGAGGAATCGAACCTGGGCCAGCCGGGTCGGTGGCATGCAAGGCAAACGCCTTACCCGCTGTGCAATCACTCCAGCCCTAAGCCACTAGGTATCTATAAGAAATTTACTGAAATCTCATGGAGAAAGGCATAGAGAAAACAAAACCCAAATTATGAAAATTCCAAAGACACCCTTCATTTGTGGGTAAATGATGATGAACAGAAATGAAGAGCAGAGGGTCAGAGCTATAGTACGGTGGGGAGGGTGTCTGCCTTGCACACAGCCAACCCAGGTTCTATCCCCAGCATCCCATATGCTCCCCTGAGCAATGTGAGGAGCAATTCCTGAGTGTAGAACCAGGAGTGACCCCTGAGCAATGCTGGGTGTGATCCCAAAAGCCAAAAAAAGAAAACGAATTTTTTAAAGAAAATAAGACCAATGCAGAGACCATAAAAACTCACCATTTTTCCCACATACAACGTCTTTCAGTAAAGAAGTCCTAAAGGCTGAAAACAAACAGCTGACAGGATCTACTTCTCCCAAGACAAAGGCCCTGAGGAAAATCCCCTCCTTTAAGGAGAAACAGGACAGGCTTCAATCTCAGAAGGAACTGAGCTCAGGGGTCAGACTCTGTCATGTCAGTGAAATGGATCAGTCACAAAATAACCCACCTGAGTGTGTATTTACTAAAAATAAAAATAGGAAGGGGCTTCACGTGGCAGCTCTCTCTCTCTCTCTCTCTCTCTCTCTCTCTCTCTCTCTCTCTCTCTCTCTCTCTCTCTCTCCACCGTCTATGTTCGGTAGCCTCGGACTGCTTCCCCCACCCCGGGGAGGATGATGGTGATGGGCAGGCCAAGGAAGGAACAAAAGCCACAATGGTTGGTGTCAGTTGCAGTTTATTCCATTCCCATCTTGATTCTCCTCTGATTCTCCTCCTGCTTCTTCCTCCCCCATGCTACTTCATTCTCCTCAATCCCTTCAAACTCCTCCTAGCTCTGCATTCCCCAGCCTCCTCTTACAGCCTAGTTAAGTCCCAAAGCATGAGGGATTGAGATTTACACATAGATGTGGTCACAATCAATAGGGGTAAAGTCTTTCCCTCAGGGAAAGCCACTTCTAGGACAGATTCTCTTTAAGCAGGATGACCCACCCAAAAACGGAATCCCATGGGTGTGTTTCTCCTCTCTTTGTCCAACAAACATAAACATTCATAATATTAATCATTTTGTATGGACACTGTAAGAGATACATTAAGCTTATGGAATTGCTCTCCTGGGGTCATCTCGATCTCAGACTACAGTGCTCAGGCCAGATTAGTATTTCCTATACCTAGCAGGGGCCTAATCTCGTCGTTACTTTTGGATCTTGACAGCATTTGTCTATGACCATGCTCAATTTATAGTTGAGTATCGTGACGCTTTGGCCTGGCCCATTTCGATGCCAGGGTAGCTCACAGCTTGCCCTGGGTCCATTCAGACCCTCATCAGGACCCTGTTTTGGGGGTGCTAGGAACTAAGGGCAACTGAGGCTTAAGTCGAGGAAGCAGATGTCCTGGAGTGCGTATTGCTCAGAGACAATTTACTCCCAAGTTACAAAAGCATAATATTAACTGTCTTCATTTGTTCATACAAAAAGGACAGTGCTTTAAACTATTCAAAAGATATAAGGAGAGAAGAAAGGCAATATTAACTTACAATACAAGTTCAGTGTCCTTAGAAGGATCTGACCTTACAATATTAACAGAATCTGATTAGGGAAGGCAAGTGGAAGCACAATGGGTAGGGCGTTTGCCTTGCATGTGGATGACACAGGTTCGATTCCTCCGTCCCTCTGGGAGTGCCCGGCAAGCTACAGGGAGTATCCCACCCACACGGCTGAGCCTGGAAAGCTCCCCATGGCATATTAGATATGCCAAATACAGTAACAACAAGTCTCACAATGGAGATGTTACTGGTGCCCGCTCGAGCAAATGGATGAACAATGGGAGGACAGTGCTACAGTGCTGATTACAGAAAAAGCTGATTAACTGTTTGGGGAAGAGAATATAGAGAAGTAACAGACAAGCACAGAGGAATGGGAGTGACTTGGAAGCCCTGTGATGGTTGTAACCTGATAAACCTAAGCTTCCTGTGGCAAGGGAGAAAGGACAAACCAATGTTATCCTACACCTGAGGGCAGTGCGTCCACTCAAAGAGTGACAGGGGAGGTGAGCAGAACTCACACACTCCCTAGGTGGCTCAAACACTCTCTGCATCCCCATCTGGCACTGCCATTCAAACCCAGTCTTCAAATCAGTAATCTACAGCAACCATGGGAGAAAACCAGTCAGCTTTCCGGGATGGGCTGGAGAAGGAAGCTTTTAGACATCAAATTGCAAGGAGCAAACAAAATCACAACTGTCTCACTCCTGTCTCCTCCAACGCAGCTTCCAAAAAACATCACTGTCACTGCGGTGGAGGGTCTGATGCCTGTTCATGTGGTTTTGCATCCTTTGTGCCATTTCAGACACAGCTGCCCACATGGCCTTGGATGGGATGGACACCCGGAATCAGACCACGGTGTCCGAGTTTATCCTGACGGCCTTCCCAGCCCTCCAGAAGCTGCAGACAGCCCTCTTCGTGGTCCTCCTGATGACTTACCTGCTCACACTCACCGGGAACCTGGTCATCATCGCCCTGATATGGGCCAACAGTTGCCTGCAAACACCAATGTACTTCTTCCTCAGCAACCTGTCCTCCTTGGACATGTTATACACCTCCACCGTGACCCCAAACATACTGGACTGCCTCCTCCAGGGCAGGAGAAGCATCTCGCTCGCCAGCTGCATCACCCAGACATATTTCTTCTTCTTCCTGGGGACAGTGGAGTTTATCCTCCTGGCAGTGATGTCCTTTGACCGCTACGTGGCCATCTGTAACCCCCTGCGCTACACCATCATCATGAACAGCAGGGCATGTCTCCTGCTGGTTCTGGGCTGCTGGCTGGGCTCTTTTCTGTCCGTGCTGTGCCCCATCATTGTGCTGTCCAGGCTGTCTTTCTGCTACCAGGAAATCAGCCACTTCTTCTGTGACATCGCCCCCCTGCTCCAGGCAGCCTGTACTGACACGCATCTCATGGAGATGATCAGCTTCCTCCTGTCTACCCTGGTCCTCCTGACCTCGCTGTTCTTTACCATCACATCCTACACCTACATCATTTCCACCATCCTGCGCACGCCATCCGCCCAGGGCCGCCAGAAAGCCTTCTCCACCTGCGCCTCCCACATCACCGTGGTCTCCATCGCTTACGGCAGCAACATCTTCATGTACCTGCGGCCCAGCCAGAGCCACTCCCTGGAGTTTGACAAGGTCACGGCTGTGCTCACTACCATCATCACACCCCTCCTGAACCCCTTCATCTACAGTCTAAGGAACGAAAAGGTGAAGCAGGTTTTGAAGGATGCAATGGAGAAAATGACAGCCTTGCTTCACAAGAGAACCTGAGCCCGCTCCGGGGGGAACTGCCGAGATTGGTGAGTTCCCACCCCTAGATTCTGGGGGGACAGGGGCTTGAAATCCACATGGACACATGGGGTGGATAAAAAGGCTTCATTCCACATCAGTGATGAGACATTATAGTCAAGGGTCTGGGAGGTAATTCAGCCACAAAGAAAATGTTGTCTGCTCTATGACCAGCCTCTCTCACACACAGATTATCACAGCACTATGGAAAACGAAAAAACGCTTTAATAAAAAAAAAAAAATCCAGACCTCAGCTTGACTCTCCCTCAGCTCCGTTCTCCCTTTTTTTTTTTTTTGTTTTGTTTTTTGGGTCACACTGCCAATGCACACGGGAGTTACTCAGGAGTTACTCCTGGCACTGCTCAGGGTACCATATGGGATGCTGGGAATCGAACCCAGGTCGGCCGCGTGCAAGGCAAATGCCCTACTCGCTGTGCTATCTCTCCAGCCCCCCCACCTTTTTTTTAAACTGACGCAATTTTCTCATCTGGAAAGTAGAGGAAGTCATTTGTGCTCTTGTTCTTCTCTTTGTCTTCAGGGAAGTTGGCCCAGAGACACCAAGATATGAAACCACTCATGATGAAGAATGGACGGTTACTTATGTTCTGCCAGAGGACTGGCTTTCTCCCTAGGGGCCACGATGATAACAGTAACAGCTAAACACACACACACACACACACACACACAAAGAGGGGTAACGGATCTTAGGGTTGTTTGATTCAGTGTGTTTCAAAAGCCTTGAGAAGCTGCTGTCACCTCCATTTCACAGGAATGCAAAGGGGAAGAAACTCAGGTGGGGGGCAGAAAGTCACCCCAAAACAGCGCTTTCTCTCAGACTCACGCACATCAGCGGTTCAGCAGCCATAAGAGGGAATGGTGTGAGAGGAAAACCATGTTCGCAGAAGGAGTGATGACCCATAATCAGAAGTTACTGCAGCTTAAACAGGACACCCATCTTGTTCAGGACTGTCATGGCTGCAGTTTGCAAAAGTGCAAAAGTGTAGCGATTGATGAAAGCGCTGTCAATTATATGGACATTCCTTGGGTCTTTCATCTGCTGTAGTTTTTGTCTTTTTCTTTCTATTCTCATTACATCAGGTATAGTGCCCTATAAACTGTGGTAGTGGTACCAGGAATCTTTTTAAATGAAGGAAATTGGGGGGGGGGGGGTGTTCGTGTGTACGTATGTATATGTTTTGGGTCACATCCGGCAATACTCAGGGGTTACTCCTGGCTCTGCACTCAGGAATTACTCCTGGCTCAGGGGACCCTATAGGATGCAGGGGATCGAACCTGGGTCAGCTGCGTACAAGGCAAACACACTACCTGCTGTACTATCTCTCTGGCCCCTGGAGGAATTTTTTTTAAGACAAAGAAAAGCAAAGGCCCAGCAGAAGCCACCCCAGCATGGACTGGTCTCCTTCAGCTGAGCAGAATAAACATTCTGTACCCAGAATGGCACTTGGGCACCAGCGTAGGCCTGGGTAGGCCTGGTCCGCGTGCCCATCCAGACTCCTACTCACAGGGCTACGGTTCATGGGGCAGAGCCTGTGGCCTCTCTGTGGGGCCCTGGGCTTGGTCTCAGCACCCCAACAAATTCTGCTTCCTGAAACCCCAGAGTGGCCAGTCTTGCGCAGGGCTGAGAACCAGGTACCAGCTGTCCTACGGGAATCAAAACAGACCCTTGGGCCTCACCCCTGAATTCCGGGGTGCTCGCTGAAGCTGCTTAGGCAGAGGGAGTTTGCAGGTGTGACTGCTGCAGGTGGAGTGAGGCCAGGGTCCCCACCGACTGGCTGGGGGGAGGGGGGCTTCTTAACGCCACGTCCCCGTGTCTCCCTGCCAGCGCTCCCCAAAGGTGTTTGCAGCAGGGACAGCAGATGCAGAGGTACTGACAGCAGGTACCGAGCTCGGGCTGGAAACTCTCAGGGACTCCGGGGGCGGCAGAAAGACCCTGGACGGTGGCACGTGCGTGGTCCAGACTGCTAGAAAAGAACCCTCCAGGCCCTACTTCTGCAACTGGACACCGGACACCGGCGCCCGAGCACAGGGGCGCGGTGGTTCCGCCTCTCTCCGCCCTCCCTCGCTGGGGCCTTTGCAGCCGGTCCCAGAGCCGGGATAAGCCTCTGGAGCTCCAGCTGGGCCTCTTCAAGCGCAACCCACGGGTCCGCGCAGGACGCTGCTCGACGTCGCCCCCTACAGTCCTTCCTGCAGCGACGCGGCCGGCGCGCCAGGACTGTGCTGGCCCCATCACTGCCCGCGTCAGCTTCCTGCATTCCTGAGCTCCTGGAGTGCCTTAAGCTGTTTCCATAGGAATCTGCTGTCATTAGGGTTAGGGTTTGGGGTTTGTTTTGTTGAAGTTTTTTTTTTTTATTTTTTGTACATTTAGGCTTATGAAAGTTTTGCAAGAACACTTGCAAATGTGTTCATATCACAGATGTGAAGCTTACATATCATAGATATACAGTCTATAGACACAAATAATTAATCCATTGGTATGTATGGAATTTTGTTGTTGTTGTTTTGAGGTCACACCCAGCGGTGCGCATGGGATGACTCATGTTGGTGCTTTTAAGAGTAGATGTGATGGATGTCGGCTAGAACCAGGTTCGGATGTGTAAGGAAAGCTCCTTACCCCTGTATCTCTCTGTTTCTGTCTCTGTCTCTCTCGCTCTCGTGCTCTCTCGCTCTTGCTCTCTCCCAGTATATATGGAATTTTTGTGGGTATACAATTTAAACTCTGACATCAAATTCCTGCATTTGGAAGGGTTCCTGGGCTGTGTGTGTGCTAAAGATGCTGCAACTTAGGGTTGTCCTCATAGCACGTATCTGACCAGAAATATTGATAGGGGGAGATTGTGTGCATATGGGCGGGGGGGGGGGGTCCTGGGAAATTTGTGCCCTCTTCTCAATTCCACTGTGATCCTGAACTGCCCCCCCCCAAATAAAAATATCACGGGATTCATGTTACATATTTCTCAAAACATAATTGGGATGGCATTCTAGATCAACACTGATCAATATTAATGACATGATACATAAATTTCACAGTTCATTCAAGAAAATGGTATATTTCTGTGCGGCAGGGATAGGAGGAAGAAACTGAGTAAGCAGCTTAAAGCTTATCTTTCATACGAGAGCTTTACTAGATCGTGTATGAACTTGATAAATAAGAAAGAAAATAAGAGTTGAATGCCAAATCTCCCAAAGGTAAATGCAGAGAAGGGCCTTCGCACGGGCATGTTCTCCTTGATTATCCTGGCAAGAGGCTGGTTACTGACTATGGGTTTCTGATTGTATTTTTCTCTTTGTAGTTTCAGATCAAACCTTCATGTCTTACGGAAAGTGTTTAAAGTTTTCAAAAGAGCCACTGTTGTTTCAGACGCTGCTTGTCTGGCCAAGGATAAGGGAAATTCTACACAAAAACCTCTGTTTTCGGGAGCTGGAGAGACAGCATAGCAGGTAGGGCATTTACCTTACATGCAGCTGACCAGGGTTCGAATCCCAGCATCCCATATGGTCCCCTGAGCACCGCCAGGAGTAACTCCTGAGTGCAGAGCCAGGAGTAACCCCTGTGCATCGCTGGGTGTGACCCAAAAAGTAAAACAAACAAAAAACTCTGTTTTTGCCGAAAACTCAAAAAAAAAAAACCCTCTAAAACATTACAACATACCAGAACGTTGCTCAGTCGTAGGTCACTAAGTCCTTCAAAATTGTTTGATCCATTCACTCTATCCATCGTTCCATTAGCGTACCTCATAAAAGCAGGACAATTCTACTTAGGGAGGTAATGCACCTCAACCAGAAGAGGCACAAAAGTCAAATACCTTTCATGCAGCCACAAAGATAAAGACCTTGCGCAATTCCAATTAAAAATCTGTAAGCAGGCCATCCCAGACACAGCTGTGCAGAAGAAAGCCAGGGTGACTTGGGGACACACAGAGTTGCTTCTCAGGGGTCTGTGTGCTCAGGGGTCTGGCGCGTCTAACCAGTGAGAGCCCCCACAACGGGGCGCAGGTACCAACGTTTACCGTTCCTTGGGGCATCTTGCCAAAAGTTCCCAGCATGACCTTTGGAGAAGGAAATTCTTCCAGGCTGGAAAATATAAAACATTCTTCCGAAGCTGAGTACTGTGTGTCTTTGTTTCTGAGGAAATTCAACCCAGTTTCATGTTTAATGATCTCCTGAAGAAAGCAATCCTGAATTGCTAAGTTTGGAGGGGTCAAAAGCATGGGTCTAGGGAGCCTCATGACCCACAAAGGCTGCAGCTGCCGGGGGAAGCCGAGCCAGGGTAGCGAAGGTTGTTTCGCCCAGGGTGATTCCCAGGAGCTTCTGGGCGTGAAGCTTCTTTCTGCCAAGTCTTTGGGATGTGACTGTCTCCTACCCAAACACGCCCTCCAAAAACATTCTCTCTGGCTCATTGCACTCTCTTTCTCCACTCCCTACATCAGCCATCGTCCGCTCCCTGCAACGTCACAATTTCTTTTTTTCCATGTTTCTGCCAATTGGCAAAATAAGAAATTTGAAATAAAAAAAAAAAAAAAGTATGGGCAGCCTAACAAGAATTCCCACATCCCAGAGGCGAAGGCATCTAACAGCCCTAACCTCCCCCACCCAGAGGCCACTAGAAGTCAAATGTGCAGCTCAGGATGGTGTGGGAGATAGACTTAGGGTGCTGGGGGCAGGGTGGAGGGGTGGGGGAGTGGGATTGACAATAAGCCATGTAGGGGTAGAGGTCACTGTGGTGACAGGGAACTTGAGGCAGAAAGGAAAAAATCCAGGGCTCGGACTGCAAGCAAAAGCTCTATCTCCCAAACTCACAAAGTCAGCTCGTGATGGACCTTTGCCCCCTGCAGATCCGGGGTCCCAGGAAACTGACCCCATGCCAACACACAGTGCTCAGACGGGTGTCTGATGACCGTCCCTTCTGCTCTGCCCTCTCTGGACTTCTCCTGCATTTGAGTTGCTTCCTTCTCCCCCAGGAT